CATTCTGAGTCACGCCTGGCTAAAAACGTGATATAAAAAGCTAGGAGGGCACCGGAAGCGGGATGCTAGGAGAAATGTGGGGACAGGACTCCCCCGCGGTGAGGCTGCTCCGGTGAGGCCCCCGCCCGTTCGCTGCCTGCCCGCCCGGTGCTGCCGCTTCCCCGCGCCCCGGCCGGCGCCGCCGGGGGAGCCGCGGGGCGGAGGAGCCGGGCGGGCCGGGGCGGGCCGGGTGCTGCCAGGGACCGCCGAGCTCGCCGTCCCGGCCGCCGCTACCCTGCTCACCGCACACACCTCATTACCGAGTCAGCAGAGCCGCTTTAATGGACTTGTGTGGAAAGGCGGTTTTACGCTCTATAAACGTTGGGTCCAAGCGTTTACTAATTAAACTCTTTCTATTTAGAAACACCTGCGTTTTAAGAAAGCTCTCTGAACGCTAGCACTGGCTGAATTTCCAACCTGCTGCAGTCTGAGCTTGTCGTGCCTAACCTATACATCGTAACAGCACTGGAAAGCATGTGAACCAAGAGGTAAAATCCTCGTACAATGCTCCTCGCACAGTGCTCCTCAGACTTTCCTACCAAGGCAGAAAACAAATCTACGATGCTGTTGAATAATCTCCCAATAATTGTAGTAATTAAAATCATCATCCAGTCTGCAGTCACCTTCCTTCCTTTGACACTAGTCTTCCCTGGGATTGTTAACGTGTCTCCGGCTGAGATAAACAGAACAAGGGAGCTTTAAAATACACGGTCCAAATAAATTTAGCGGAAGAGAATTAATTCCAAAGACACGCTTTTGACTGCGTTCAGCAAGCGACAGGATTTCTGAAACTATGGTGCAGATTTTTTAAACACAGGGTAATATGGGTCTCCCTGCTACTCCTACAGTGTCACCTTAAGGATCGAGAAAAGATAAAAGCCCAGCCTGATGCTCCACCTCGGGGCTCAGTGTGCAGGGGGCAGGAGGAGAGGGGAGTGCACCATGTAACAAATATCATATGAAAGATCAAGCAGAAATTGTGGGAGAGTGCCATAATTTTAATGTAATTTCCATGATCTATTTGATCCCAGTGCTCATTCTCTTTTTATTAACGATAAAAGATTTCCTTCTAATCAAAAGCTGCACTTCATCTTTACCCACAAATGAAAAACTCAATAGTGGAAAGAATTCAGTGGACTCAATAGGCACCAAGGTCTGTATTTTAACACTATCTCTATATATCCTTCCCCCTTGTAGTATCTAGTCTTGGGCAGAATAGGGGGGAAGCCGTCTCCTAACTGAAGTTACTAATTTATCACCAGGTACCCCTCTGAATTGCTCTCATAATCAATGCTGGCTTCTAGATCACGTAAATGAATGTGCAATTGAGGGGGGGAGGGGGTTTTCCACAGAAGGAACTGTTGCTAAAAAAAAAAAAAAATTCTGGCAGGACGCAATTATTTATCTCGGCAATGAGCACTTTGCCTGTTTCCTACCCATGTTCCTTCTGTTTAGCAGAAAATTAGGCTGCTTCTCTTAAACTTGGAAGGGTTTTCCCCCTTCCCACCCGTAACATCCATGGGTAAAACTCCGTGCCCCTTCTAGAATGCAGGGGAAATTGTACAGCAACCTTACGTTTAACTGCTGCTAAATAGATTTATTTGGAAATTATTTGGCAGCTCTTTTCCAGAGCTCTTTTTGAACAGACGAGCCATTTCATCTGATGCTCTTGAATATAAACCCAGGAGCTTCCCAACCATCTGTAATGAACGAATTGTTTTCCAGCTCTCCCTCCTAAAGACAGCAACTTTAGTAGTTGCACAGATCAAAAGACACTCGTAGAGAGAAGATGGGAAACAATATTGTTCAAAGAAAGTGAACTGTTGCATTTAATTAGGCTATTCTTTATTAGTATTCATATTGAGATTTTTTTTTTTTTTAGATTTATGTTGATTTAACTGTAATGTATTTATGATGTAAATATATTCTGAGAGGAAAACGTCACGGATCAATTGTAAAGGACCCGGATACATAATTTTAAAAAATCAGTTTCAGTTTATATGAGGTTCTCACCCCACTTTCGCTTCTTAGTCAGATTTGTTTATGCAGAATCGACATTTAATAGTGCTAATTGCACTCCAGTTAAATTGCCCTGATTGCAGAAAGGGAAGCAATTTTCGTGCTCTCTGTCTGGGTTTGGAAGAAATTGTTTTATATTCACCTCTTTATAAAGAAGTGGAGATAAGGCACCGAGCCTTTGCACAAATTGCACTTATGGGCTGACTGGCAGCATTCAGGCTCTATAATAGAGCATTATTTGGCCGTTTTGAATAATGTAAAGCATTTGCTGAAAGCTATTCTCCTGAAAATTGCTTTAACTTTTAAAAGGGTGATGATTCACTCCAAACCAGGCCTTTGTTACATTGTCATTATCCCCCCAAATGTTTTAACAGTCAGCTCAACACTTTAGCATAACACATTGATCTTTGTTTAAAAACTCGATTTTTGGAGTACGAAAAAAATCTGTCAGAAAATACTTGACCCCCTAAAGATTTTAGCAGCGTTCCCCCTTCCGCCGCCATTCGCTCTGCCTTTCCACCGCCTGCCTCGTTCCTGCGGATTTTAGTTACTTTTCCGACTACAAAGGGGCGAGGAGATGGATGTGCGGCAGGCAGAGCCGCCCGCCAGTCTTCAGGCACAGCAGAATCCCTACTTTGCTGTGGGAGCGCAAGCGGGCAGCGGATGCCTTTACTCGCTGATGTAGAGGCAACATTTTTAAACGTCACGCTCTCGATCTGCCTTCCAGCCGTATTTTATTGATGACTTTCCCCAGGATGAGAGGAAAGACCCTCTCCCCCCGCCGCCCTGGGGTTGGCTAGAAGCGCCGCGCTGCCACTTGACGACCACCACGGCAGGCTCCTGGGAAGGGAATGAGCGGGTTTCCCCCGGAGAAAAGGAAGAAGGAAAGAAGGAAGGAGGGAAGGAGGGAAGGAAGGAGTCACCTGTTGGGCGATGGCTCCCGGGTGCCCCTGTCGGACTCCTCGCCTCACCCGTGGGGGTTATGTCGCTCCCCCGCCACCGCCTTTCTGCCGCCTCCACCCGCCGAGCGCTGCAGCCCCCCTGGGTACAGCCGCCGCTCAGGATCTGCTCCGGGCAGACCTTTCGAGGGAAGGGTTTGCCATGCACTACCCGGACCCCTGCGCCGGCTGCGAGTCAATGTGGAAAGAATTAAGCGCAGAAGAGTATTTTCTCCTACTGCCCCGACTCTGTTTAATACGCGGCGACAGAAAGGCGAGCGCCCTTTGAAAATAGCCTTAGACGTTTAAATAAAAGATAATCTCCAGGGACATCCTTCCTAGCATACCAGTCGTCCTATAGATTGCATAACACAATGTGGAAAAAACCGCAATGCCCACCTTATTTAAGCGCGCGCACACACACACACACACACACATATATATATATATATATAAACATGTACAGAGCAGCGAAATCATAATCTCAAATTCACGGTTTCTCCATCTTGCTCCTAACCGATGCCTATTTTGCATCTTCTAGAAGGTTTTACACTGGATGGCTGAGGCAGCACCGAGAAGGAAATATTGACTGAAATGCAGAGCAAGGGCCCGGCATTGCTTGAATGCACTCATCATATTTCTGGTTCAGAATTGTACTCAGCTGCAGTGGGAACGACAAAAAGGAAGGGGAAAAGCTCCTATTCCCATTCTCACAGAGCCGACCGTGATGATGAAAAGTTGCACGCCTATTGATCTTCCGCGGGCACAGTACGGGCAAGTTCTAGCCAATTACTTAAGAAGCCTCCAATAATTAAAAATCAAAGGGACTAGCTTTCAAGACATTGAGGAGCCGAGGTTTGGACTTACATTTCGCACATGCAGAGAGCAGGTAAAGTCTCTGTCGCTCACTGGGTGCGTGGAGTGTGCACAGTGCAGAGGCCACAGGCAAGTGATAGGGAGGCTTATTCCAGCAGCGCCCTAGCACTGCTAGGAGGAAGCAAGCCTTCTGCCATTAGCAGCACTGCTTCCACGGGAGTATATGAGGCTTGAAAAACGTGCTGCAGGCTGCAAATTTGACTTTCAAAGTGTTTTGCTGGCGATTACTTTGTAAATTAATATCTTCTGTCTTAAGCGACAGGATGTCAAATGCCCCTCGTCCCCTCTCCCGCCCTGGTACAAAAGCAAAGAGATGCCTGGCGGTTCCCTGCCTTTGGAATTTTTTGGCACTTTATATAACCACAAAGCCTCCTCAGTTCCTTTTGCAATGAAAGAAAGAGATACGTTGTGCACGAAATCACTTCTGGCATTTAGGAAAGAAAACAACAACAAAAAAAATAGACGTGTTTTCACAGAAAGTCATTAGGCGCTGTTAGGTTATTTGTATCCAACACGGACAGCTCCCAAACGGCCTGAAAAGGAGGCAAAGGGCCTGTTGAATAAAAGCGACGCAGGTATGGTTTACGGGCCGCAAGGATCGCAGGTGACTACACCAGCAGCGCGGGGCATCGGACACCTCCTGCACAGTTTACAGGAGACGGCGGAGCGGCGTCAGGCATGACACCAGCCCTCCGCCGGCGCTGACCTCGCTCTCGACTCTGCCCTCTGCGGCTGGCCCCGCTCCCCCGGCGGGCAGGCGGTGCGGGCCGGCGGGAGGCGCGGCCCGGCGGGAGGCGCGGCCCGGGGCGCGGGGCCGGCGGTAATTGCGGCGCGGCCGCCGCGGGCCGGAGCCGAGAGTTTTCTCCCCGCGCGCTGACTGGCACGCGCCCCGCGCCCCGGCGCCGGCACCTCCGCGCAGCCTGATTGGCTGCCGGGCCGCTCCGGGCCGCTCCGCCCGCGCCCTCATTGGGCGAGCGCCGCCGCCAGCGGTACTTCAAAGCGGGCGCTGCCCGCACTTAGGCAGAGTTTGGCCCCGCCGCGCCGGAGTGTCCTTAGCGCCGCCGGGCAGCGCGGGGCGCTCACCGAGCGCCATCCCCTCCGCCCCACCGCCCAGCCCACGGACGTGCTATGGCTACGTCTATCCTCGGGGTAAGTCGCACCGCGCGCTTCCTCGCGGCTCCCCCCTGGAAAAACTGTCGTTGCCTCCGCGTTGTGGCTGCCCCTCGCGCAAATCGCGTGGACCCGCGGATGGGAGGTGATGCCGGCCCGCCTCGGGGGATTTCATTGCGGGCTGCCTATCGGGTCGTTCCCAAAGAGTTTAGCCTGGAAACTCGCTGGGCCGGAGAGAAGCCGCGATGCTTCCGCTTTCTTTTGTTTAGTTGTCGGTTTGGTTTGGGATTTTTTTGTTTGTTTGTTTGTTTTTTTAACTCGAACTACGCTCGATTCCCAAAGATTTTCGCCGGCCCGGCGTTGCACGAGGCGACAGTCGGAAAGCTCCGCACGCTGCTCGCCTTGCTGCCATCTCTTTTTTTCCGTCACTCCTGTACGGTTTGCTCGAGGAGACGCCGCATTTCGTTCCCACGGGATTTTTGGTTTAACGGCGGTACGCTCGAGCAGCCCACTCGGAACACGCGTGTCGCTTGTCCCCGTCGGGACCCGCTTGCGATGTAAATTTCTCGGGCGATGAGACCGGTCCCCGGCGGAAAACGAGTTGTGTCGAGCGTGGCAGGGCTGGAGCCTTCCTCTAAAATAAGAGAAAACTTTTCCGCGGTGCCGCTCGTTGTGCCGCGGTTCTACCCGCGCCGCCGTGTCCCCGCGGGAGCCTGGCGAGGTGGCAAGGGGTTAGGCTGACGGGCCGGCTTTGTCTCTTCCCGCAGGAAGAGCCGAGATTTGGAACGACTCCCCTGGCCATGCTGGCCGCCACCTGCAACAAGATCGGCAACACTAGTCCCCTGACCACCCTGCCCGAGTCTAGCGCCTTCGCCAAAGGGGGCTTCCACCCCTGGAAACGCTCCACCTCCAGCTGTAACCTGGGCTCCAGCCTCTCGGGCTTCACGGTGGCCACGAGTAGGGGTTCCAACGGACTGGCCAGTGGCACGGGCACCGCCAACAGCGCCTTCTGCCTGGCTTCCACCTCGCCCACTTCCTCGGCCTTCAGCAGCGACTACGGCGGCCTCTTCTCCAACTCGGCGGCGGCGGCGGGCGTGTCCCCGCAGGAGCCCGGCGGGCAGTCGGCCTTCATCTCCAAAGTGCACAGCTCGGCGGCCGAGAGCCTCTACCCGCGGGTGGGCATGGCGCACCCCTACGAGTCCTGGTACAAGTCGGGCTTCCACTCCACGCTCTCGGCGGGCGAGGTGGCCAACGGAGCGGCCTCCTCCTGGTGGGATGTGCACACCAACCCGGGCTCCTGGCTTGAGGTGCAGAACCCGGCGGGGGGGCTGCAGAGCTCGCTGCACTCGGGCGCCCCCCAGGCCTCGTTGCACTCCCAACTGGGCACCTACAACCCCGACTTCAGCTCCCTCACCCACTCCGCCTTCAGCTCCACCGGCCTGGGCTCCACGGCCGCCTCGCACCTGCTCTCCACCAGCCAGCACCTGCTCACCCAGGAGGGCTTCAAGCCCGTGCTGCCCTCCTACACGGACTCCAGCGCGGCGGTGGCGGCGGCCAGCGCCATGATCTCGGGCGCCGCCGCCGCTGCCGCCGGGGGCGGCTCGGCCCGCCCCGCCCGCCGCTCCC